CAGGCGTGTCTTACTACCCACCAGTCATTCCAGGCATGTTTTACTACCCACCAGTCATTCCAGGCATGTTTTACTACCCACCAGTCATTCCAGGCGTGTCTTACTACCCACCAGTCATTCCAGGCATGTTTTACTACCCACCAGTCATTCCAGGCGTGTCTTAGTACCCACCAGTCATTCCAGGCATGTTTTACTACCCATCAGTCATTCCAGGCATGTTTTACTACCCACCAGTCACTCCAGGCATGTTTTACTACCCACCAGTCATTCCAGGCGTGTCTTAGTACCCACCAGTCACTCCAGGCATGTTTTACTACCCACCAGTCATTCCAGGCATGTTTTACTACCCACCAGCCATTCCAGGCATGTTTTACTACCCATCAGTCATTCCAGGCGTGTCTTACTACCCACCAGTCATTCCAGGCATGTTTTACTACCCACCAGTCATTCCAGGCGTGTCTTAGTACCCACCAGTCACTCCAGGCATGTTTTACTACCCACCAGCCATTCCAGGCATGTTTTACTACCCACCAGTCATTCCAGGCGTGTCTTACTACCCACCAGTCATTCCAGGCATGTTTTACTACCCATCAGTCATTCCAGGCGTGTCTTAGTACCCACCAGTCACTCCAGGCATGTTTTACTACCCACCAGTCATTCCAGGCGTGTCTTAGTACCCACCAGTCACTCCAGGCATGTTTTACTACCCACCAGTCATTCCAGGCGTGTCTTAGTACCCACCAGTCACTCCAGGCATGTTTTACTACCCATCAGTCATTCCAGGCGTGTCTTAGTACCCACCAGTCACTCCAGGCATGTTTTACTCCCCACCAGTCATGTTTTATTACCCACCAGTCATTCCAGGCATGTTTTACTACCCACCAGTCATTCCAGGCATGTTTTACTCCCCACCAGTCATGTTTTACTACCCACCAGTCATTCCAGGCATGTTTTACTACCCATCAGTCATTCCAGGCATGTTTTACTACCCACCAGTCATTCCAGGCATGTTTTACTACCCACCAGTCACTCCAGGCATGTTTTACTACCCATCAGTCATTCCAGGCGTGTCTTAGTACCCACCAGTCACTCCAGACATGTTTTACTACCCACCAGTCACTCCAGGCATGTTTTACTACCCATCAGTCATTCCAGGCGTGTCTTAGTACCCACCAGTCACTCCAGACATGTTTTACTACCCACCAGTCATTCCAGGTATGTCTTACTACCCACCAGTCATTCCAGGCGTTTCTTAGTACCCACCAGTCATGTTTTATTACCCACCTGTCATTCCAGACACCCTGACTAACAAACACACCATGTACCCCGTTCTTAACAATTTAAAAAAATCATTAAAATTTAGCATCTGGTTGATGGTAATAGATAAAGATGTAGTGAGGTGATCAGTATACATCACGTCTGTAAAATACCTCAACTACATGCTGATGCCTGATTAGAATTTTGTTGAAAGCGAATGAAAACTCTCACAAGCGCTGTATTCTCAACTGATTTTTAGCTGACAGATTCTATAACCTAACCCAAGCCGAGTGTCTGATGGTTCTAATATAATATATGAAAATGTAAATTAAATTAAACATTTCAGATAAGTGCATATACTGTCCTTTCCATATTTACATTTGAAGGGCTGTTGTAATGGTTGTTCTTAACAAAATAAGTCAAAAAGCGTCAACGTAATTACTACCTATTTTTCCCCAGGAAAACAACCAGGCTGCGCTAAATTTATATTTGCCGTTTCATTAATTTTTGCACCAAAATTAGCCTAATAACCTAATCTAACCTTGATAAAATTTATATAATGTAAAATAATTTATCAATCCAAGAAAAATGCACAACTGTAGCAGCTATATTCCTTGATCAAGATAATTCATCTTATATATTAAAATATTAGTCACTCACCATGAACTGCGCAAATTTCAGTTTGTCTTTTTTTTTTAAATAAATTGTTTTCCCATATAATAAATCGAGAATGCCTCTTCTGATGGGCTTCAAACCATAGATGTTGGTGTATTCTAATTAAAAGTAAGTTTGTTCTGAGGATAATTTATCGATGTATTAAGGATTGTGTATAACAAACTCTAAAAATTTAACACTCGGTAGTATAGATTTGTTTATATTACCTTTAAAATAAACCCCACGACACAAAACAAATGCTGTGCACACACATTTTCTTATAATTTTAACAGTGATGGTTGTATTTACTTTGTCTTAGTCGTGCGATGATTTCCTCCGTGGAACATTGTGGTCACAAGATCGACGACTTCCGCTGGCTTACCAGTTCACTCCATAAAATTTAATCTTCATATGATTAGATGGTTGTTTTTTCTACTTTATACAAAAACATATTTGTATTGTGTTACTATAACACTCAGCAAGCCTCTCCGGTACGGCTTATATGTCAGAGTAACTCAGGACATATAAAAAATATATATGCCCTTAAAAAAAATATACCAGAGTTCATCCAGAAGAGTTAAGCTTTCCT